CCCCTTGTGGATGATGCTTTCAGTCTTAACCGCTGCCTGCAAAACTGAGCAGTACCCTTCATCCAGTTTAAGGTGGTGTCTGGTGCATTGCATTCATTTAGCATTACTAAAGGACAGAATTAAGGTTCTTTTTGTATCTCATCCCGCTGTCAGCTAAATCTTTGCCAGAAAAGATGCAAAGCTGAGGTCATTTTTTTTCCGTCTGTGAGGGGTCAGTAACTGCAACCAAGTCGCTCCTGGCTGAGGTATAAGCCTGTTAAAAAGCGCCTATGCCAGCAGCTGAATAATTTTCTAGACCAATTTTTACCGTTTCTACTAATGAAAACAGCTGGGTCATTAAATCCAGCAATCGATCTCCAATTATAACCTGTCTCGGCTAGCACAGTGCCCTGCCCCTGCAGATGCCCTCCCCGCAGACAGACCCCCAGCCTCCGCCGCTGCCAGCAAACACCTATTTGCTGCCCCTGTCCCATACCCACCCTTAGCACTCCTAAGAGCACCAAATCCTCACAAAAATATCATTGCTGTGGCATGGGGGATAATTCTGCTGTTGGGCATTCCCAGAGCTGCAGGGACAAAGGCTGTGCCTTCAGTCTCTCCAGCTGAAAAGCAGATTTATGGTTAAAAAAGGTGTGGTTCTGCTTGGAAACAGAGGCAGTGTGTACAGACAGTGATGTAACTGTAAATGTAATGGGGTTTTCTTTCACTATTATTATTTGCATCTATCAGCAGAATAAATCAAATTTAGGGTACTGAAATTCTGGATAGAGACTACCTGGATTCTTTCTTTCCTCCCAAGAAACTGAGAGAAGGATATGTGACAATTCCTGGAGTATTTTTATGAAAAGCTTTAGGATCTTTTCAGGACCTGCAAAGGAATAATAAAAAAAAAAGTTAGATGGATGACATTTAATCTTCATACAGCGAATAGTAATTACAGGCAAGATTTTAAAGTGGCTCTGCTCGTATTCAAACCTGCTGGTTCTTTTCTCCCTGCATCGCATGGGGATTTACTCTACTGTGGATGCAAAATGTAAATGATTGGGCAAGTCCGTGAAATTCAGACCCACATACAAAAATGTCTTTCTAACTTTTTCACACTTACGCTCAAACTGGAAATGGATTTTCCTAGTGGTTGATTAACCAGAAATGAGGTGTTCCTAACTAGGTTGAGGGGAGAGGAGTTCTCTAATATTCGATTAGTGAAAGGAGTGAATGGCTTCAGGTTAATTCAACTAGTCTTCTATTTTTAATCTCCAAGGAAACAGCTGAGTTGAATGTTAATTAAACAGCAGTCTTTGATCCACCCAGCCACTCCCGGAGGCTTAATAATAATATATAAGCGCACATGCAGCAAATATATAATAGGTACATTTAACGGAGTGCATCTAACCTTGCCGAATTCACAAGTAAAACGTTTCTTGCTGACCCATTCTTGTATTATTTAAATAAGGAAAGGGAAAAACAAGGGAAAATGCTAAGGTGAACTTTGCTTATTTGAAAGGTAGGGCGGCAGAGCAAGCGTGAGTTCCTATTTTGAGGATGTATAAGGGTTAATGATTAGAAGAGTGGAATCAGGAAAGACCTTAAGCCCAGATCTATGACAGTGGTAATTGAGCTGATTGATTACGACATCTCGTTTCAGACGACTATTGATTTAATCTAGTCTGCAGTCCCATTGGCCCCAGAGGTGCTCCCGAGTGAGGCTCAGCACTTGAACCTGGGTACTCTTCCCTACTCACCGTCTGGCTATAAATTTCCAGAATCTGCAGCCATTTATAATTTTCACTCCTCTTTATGCTTTTATTCAAAACCTTCTAATTTCAGCAGCCTAATGTTTTTAACCATTGAGGGGGCAGATGCAGGGAAAATGAGATGGCACAGACTGAAAAGGGTGGGTTGTGGTTTATTTAAAAAAAAAAAAAAAAGGCAAGAGAGAGAGCTGGGGCTATGTGGCTAGTATTTGCATCTGTTGTTTCTGATTCGCAGAGCTAGCAAAGGCTGCTTTTGGAGGCAGTCCACAAAGCTGGGCTATCAGTAGGCAGTTTGCTGTACGCGCACGTTCAATTATTAAAATAGTAGACTTTTTTTTCTGTCTGATAGCCATAGCGAGGTCATGACATTAATTTATCCAGGGTATTGTGGGTAACTATACAGAAAAAAAGCATAAAGGGCACAGATGCTGGAGCAGCAAAAAATGGATGGGTCTGAGCAAAAGGAGATTAAGAGGCGATGACCAATCTAATGTACGTATAGCAGTAAGAAGCCGGCATCCGTCACAGACTATTGATGGCAATAAGTATTTTAAGCCATGCTGTGCATGTGTTAATTTTTTTTTTTATACCTCAGTAAATGCTAAGCTGAATGCTGTAATCCTGTATTTTTTTCAGTTTCCCAAATCTGATTTCGGTCTTGTTTTTGTTGTCTCATGCTTGGCGTTCTCCGCTCACTCTCTGTCTCTCTCTGTGGGTGTGTGTCTGTCTCTGTCTCTCCCTTTCTCTGAGATTACAAACTTAACTGTTTCCTAATTGTCTACTTTCTGCCGTCCTTTCCCTAAGAAATTAATTACCACCACCACCACCACCAGTCATAAGCACGTACGAACTGGGCTTGGGGCGTGTACCCCGGCATTTGGGCTTGCTGTCTGTACTTGGGGGCTGCGTGGTGTTTCTTCCTTTGGACCTCTCCCTTGAGTGGATGCCCTTCACGTTTGCCACCGCCCCGAGGTTGCCAAAGGGCTACCTGAGCCGGGACTGCGGTGTGGCGCTGCATCCTGGGACCTGCCTGCCTGGCTACGCCGAGACTTTCTACAGCACCAGGCAGCCCTGAGAATTGGCTGGCGAATTGCGTATCACCTGTCCCGTGTCCCCCCCCCTCCACCCCCTTCGATAAATAATTTTTATACCGCGAATCACAGCGGTGTGGTATTGTCTGGAAAAATAATTCCCAAATACTGTTGGCGTAAAAAGAGAAAAGCCGAAAGATTGTCAACACCGTAAGTCATTAAAGTCCCTTGCCTTAAGAACAAAGGAACAAGGTAAAAATGCACACAATAATTATGCTCTGTGGATTTTCATAGCCTGTCAGACAACTTGTGCCTGTGTTTCAGTTAGCAGCCTTTGTGCTTTGTTTTGTGGTGTGTATTTTATATATACGTGTCTTGAGTTTCTCTGTGTGTGTGTGTGTGTATGTGTTCGGTGTACGTGTGTGTGCACAGACTGCTCTACCAACACGGAGCAAATACCATGCACTTAAATACACAAGAGTAGCTCAAACATGCATTTTGAGTACTCGGTGTGGTGGTGCGGGTGTATTGCCATTGTTCTCTCGCAGTGCTCCCTCTGACGCAAGCAGCTTCTATTTTTTATTTTATTTTTTTTTTAGTTAAGTCTGAGAGGAAAAAAAAAAAGAAAAAAAGAAAAAAAAAAAAATTGCTTAGTCCGGTTAAATACCGATTGAAGTCCAGAAACTCACGATTTCAGCACAGTGAATGGTGATTCAGACCCTGGCAGTGTTTTGGCTATGAGACAATTCCTACTTATAAAGAGCACAATGAGTGGGGGGAAAAGAAAAAGATAGCATTAATTTTGAGGAAGATTAATATTAGTCTTTCTAGTGTTCATTATTTCCTGAAGAAACGAATCCTTGTAGCTTTTGAGAGCCAGTGTGTCCTTCCCACTGGTATTTATTCGAGCAAAGGAAAAAATGAAGAAGGCGTAGAATAAACTCCTAAGACTGTTCAAGAATTACTGGCATTATTTCTCTCTACATCACGTGTGAGCCTGGGTTGCCTGCTATTCCTGAGGCAGAGGATCGAGGATGAAAGTCTGTGTGTCAGAGCCTGTTTTCACAACTGCGTTTGGAGATCTGTCTTATTGATTAGGAAAAAAAGGGGGTGGGAATAGGAGTGTGAGGTGAGGGGAGGACCGACTGACTACTGGCTTATTGCAGCTCAAGACATTTTCTTCCGGAAAGATGTCAAACAACTGAGACACAGCAACAGAGGAAGTAGAAAGGTGGAAAAATAAGAAGAGGGACCCTTTGGAAGAAATGAAGGCATTCCTTATGAGAGCCTTGAGGCTTTTTTTTTTTTTTTCTTCTAACATCTGACCCACAAGGGCTAGAGTGACAGCGTCATGCAAATGCTGCAGTCCAGCAGGTCTGAGAGAGGGTGGATGCTAGAGAGTGAGTTAATGTTAATGATGAGTGCAGTGAAAATACCAGCCGATACCACCCCCTCCACACACAACTGCTCTGAGTCAGCATCCGCTGCTTTGCCTTGCCTTTTTGTGCGCGCGTGTGTGTGTGTGTGTGTGCGCGCGCATGTGTATGTGTGTGTGTGTGTGTGTGTGCGCGCGCGTGTGTGCTAGTGACTGTGTGTGTGCATGGAAGGTAAAGCCAGTCAGTCAGTGAGAAGCAAAGGTACGTTTGAGAGCAACTAAAATCTGACTGATTTCCATCTTCAGAGCATCAGATGTATTCCCTAAAGAGGATGGGTCTATGCGATGGGGGTGGTATAATTATGTTAATGTCATATTTATAGAGGGGAGAGATTTTTCATTCTAATTATTGATTTGAAAGCTGTGGTCAAAATTGTTTGTTAAATCATGATCAGCTTTTGAAAAAGAAATTGAATGAAATCTAGGGACTGCTATACATATATATATATATATCTCCTATATATATTTTGTTTCGTTTAACTATTTTGTGTCTGAGGCATAACTGATTGAATGGTGCACAGTGACAAAGAAACGGCTCTTATATAATGTTGCATTATATCATCAGCTGAAATAATATTTTAAATAATCCAAAATGTTCTGAAATCTGAAGTATCATTCTGGAGGGGAGGGTGAAGGGCAGGGTTGGGGGTGGGGGGCACTGGCAAATCTTTTCTTCAGCAGAACGCTCTGTGCAGCTTTCTTGTAAATGGATGATTCACCTGTTCGACCAGCAGAGATTCTAATTTTTCCCCCCCTCTTCTCTTTTTTTCCTTTTTAAAGCTGAACGGCTTCCCGAAGAGCACTGAGTTTTCTATGCCAGATTCTGCTCCAGTGGCTAGGACCTTTATGGCTGCTGTTTCTTTTGCTCTGGGCTCTGATGGAGGAAAAAAAAAAAAAAAAAAAAGCCACGGTGGATCCCGTCCCTAAAGTAGAAATTTTCTTTTTCATTCTGCAAACAAGCCTAAAGATCGGAGGAGAATGAATGCGAAAGTAATTCAGGATTGTGGTCGTGCCATTAAAAGTGTTCGGCTTCAGAACGAAATTATTCGAGAAACCAGAGCATTTCTTCTTACTGTATCGACAGTATTTGAAAGTTATGTGTGCTTTAAGTAATCTGGTTCAAGTGACAACAATCTCTGCATGTCAATGTTTTCTACAGCTTATGGAGTGAAAGCTAGTTTTGCCACTGGAGAGGAAGAAGCTTTTGCTAGCAGTCTGTAGAAGGATTAAATGTTGAACGTGGGGAAGAGGCAAAAAAGTGAATACACGCCCAAAGGTTATCCTTGCATCGTGAATGGGTTTAAAGTACTCTGTAACCCAGGGCCCACCTGAACAGTAGGACTAAAAGTATAATGGGGAAATATTTCAATTAGAAACCCCTTAACAAGCATTTAATCCTTTTTTCAGGCATTAAGGGAAAGAGAATAAAATTGTTACTGTACAAATCTGCTGGAAGCAGATTTTAACCCATTTTTAGACGCTTCCCTCTGATGCATTATAATATGGTTACTTGCAAGACGAGGCAGTGAAGATTTTTTTTCCTGTGTTTTTGTTTTTTGTTTTCAAAAGTTAAGGACTATACTCTCAAGAAAAGTCTGTGCAGTCAGCTGATACATTGTTTGAATGTATGTATATGTCTTGCCTGATTATTTGATCTTTTCTGCCCCCTACTTGAAATTGTGGTTTGTTTATTTGGGGGGAAGGAGGGGTTGTTGATTTGGGGGGGATGTTGTTTTTTGGGTTTGTTTTGTGTTTTGTTTTTTTTTAACAATAGCAGTGAAAGTTTTACTGACAGCGAGTATGACTACTAAGCAATTCAGTTTATTGGAAGACGAATTCTACTGGATCATATCAGACTTTTCCTAGTCCCTGAGACCCTAACTTGTGAGGTTTTTTAGCAACAATCACAAGTCAGGCTCTTGGGACCTAGGCGGAGGGGAACCAGCAGCTTTGGACTGTGATTGTTTCTCTGCAGAATTTAGAGAACCAAAGGAGCTTTCCTTGTCTGGAAGGGAAAAAAGGAAAATATAACTATATCAAATATTAAGCAGCAGAACTGCTTTTGTTCCTAAAAGACAAAAACAACAACACTGTTATCCATTGTGCAACATTAGGATGTTACATATTTGTGTATTTTGAAAACTGGACTAGATGCCATGTAACATTTAGAATTAAAATTTAAACTGAATGCCAGTTTGCGCCTCAAAAAACACCCACCAAAACCCAACTCAGAACAGATACTAAAATATACAAAAGGCTTTCAACCATATTATTATTACTATTATTATTAACACTTCTGAGAGACAGTTACTGCAAAGTATATTACAATGTCATATAAATGTATTGTAACAGCATTAATTAACTTCTAAAACATAAGGCATAAACAGTGATGTTTGAGGCCTAGAAAACATTCATTCTATTGTTGTTTGAACAATGATTTCAGTCTACAGGAAAACTGTTGCTTAGCTTTTCCTGTAACATGGGACAAAGATTAGTTTGTTAGTTAGTTACCATCACTTTTGTCTAAGTGTGAACACAATATGGCATTTAAAATATTCTCTTGTTTAATTGACATTTTAATCTATAGACAATATTGGTGTAAAAATCATGCTACAGCATGAAAATAACTTTTTACACAGAATCACATTTCTTGTACCTGTTCAACTGAAACTGAGCCGACAATACTCTAAGCATCGGACTCAACTTCTAGCCTCTCCATCACAAAAAAAAAGGTGAAAAAACCAGAATGAGCTTTAGGTTGTCCCTCATATTAAGTACTTCAGTGACTTTGCATAAGAAGATTCACAGGCACAGATTTCACACTGTTCATTAGTCTAAAACTTCTGATCTACAACACATAATTTGATTTGCATTTCTTAATATTTTGTAGGTGGGTTGGTCCTGAGTAATTTTTCTGTTTCCTGTGTCTAACCCAAGATGCTGCAGGATCTTGTTGATGCATCAGACTTCACTGAGACAAAGGCTTAACACAGATCAGGCATCTAAACTATTTGTTCGTTTCAGAAGCGGTAGTTTGGCTGCAGTATATTTTTTCCACTTGCGTGGGAGGAATTGTGTTTTATTGTAAACATCAACACTATTGTTAAAATAAATTGTTCTTATCTGTTAGTATAATACTTCTTGTTGTCTTGTTTTCTTAAGAGACAGAAACTATGCGCTGTACATAGTTTTCAAGTTGCTCAAGATATAATTAGTCTTTAAATAGTCATAAAAATATTGCTTTAGCAATTTCAATGATGATACAGTTCCTGTAAATATGCAATTCTTTTCTTTGTAAACTGTCAATCCCACATGCTACGAACACTCTGAAGAGCTACTTGCAAACACAGAGGCAATTTTTAACACAGATGTTATTCAGCATTGACTTCTATTTCAATAATATTAGAAAAGTAGGTCTGAATGTGTATAGAAAAGATGATCGTGCCCAGCTAGGTGTTACGCTCATGAAGCACTTTGGCAGCAACTGACACGTATTATGTACAATATTTTTCAGTACTGAATACAGGCTATTTAAGATACTGATCAGGTGAACAGGTATTCCAGTCATGCAGGCAATATAATGAGATAAAACTATATTGCGTGTAGGTAGATACGTGTCAATATACAATTTAAATTATGCATAGTATTTATCAAAATAAAAATCCTTATAGATTTGGTCAGATGTACAATGCACACATCTGCACGTGTTAAAGGTTTTCATTGCTTTTCTTATTGAATCAGCAAAATTTGCTTGAATGTGTATGGTTCCCATTCAGCACTCTGAATTCATTTTGCATTTAATACTGTACGTACAATGAAGGTGAAACTGTAGTGTGAAGCGTCTGTCTCTGTCAGTCTGAAGATTTCAAGTGTGCTCTGCTCTGCAGTGAGAGTGAGAAGAAAATTAATCATTAGAAACCCCTACCTGGATGATTTGGTGCTAGAGCAAGAGCCATAAATATGTAGTACTGCCTCTGCGTTACTGCTTGAATTGGGATGACTCCAGTGGCTCTTCTCTTGCCCATTGTACTCACTGCTGCCCCTTGCCATGGAGATGAAAAAGTTGGTACATTGCCTTCCTTTTTCCCTCCTCCCTCTGCTTCCCCAGTTTCCACACAGCTAAACCAACCCCTGGTACCCATTGAACATCTTGTGGTGGGGCAGAGGGGGATGGAGGGGTGGGAGAATCCCGATCTGCACTCGGGCAGAATTCCCACCAAGATCAACAAGATGTTTCCCTGTCCTGGGACTACGTGACAATGCCTACAGACACCATGCAGAAAGCAGTCTTATTTACACTTTGACAGTATATGAAAGCTGTCTTTATTAGCACAAATAAATAGAAAGCACCATCTTCGGTATGCTGGGCTTAGATATATGTACAGAATTTCAATATATTCTCATCGCTATATGACTTTGTGCTGTTTCAGTCCAAAACGCTTTTAAATGCTATTTAATATGTGATTTTGGAGTAATCAGCTTGTGCTACAACAAAAACAAAAAACCAAAACACAAGCTCTTGCAAAGGGGGAGGAAGAGAGAGAGAGAGAGTGAAAATGATGTGTGGTGCATACAAAAAAGGAATGATATTAACAATTCGATGAATTCCTAGTTGGTAGACCAGACTGAGCCAGACGCATATATTAACGGCTGTCTGCTGCTGATGTGAGCCTGCTCAATGCGGTGGAAATGAAGGATCACCTAGTCTCTGACACCAGCTTATTTGTACGTTTTAATTTTAAAAAGGAAAATCACTGTTTTACATAAACATCTTAACCCCTGCATGATTTTCTTTCTTTTTTCCTCCCTCATATTGTTTGCTAATTTACTGTCAACTTAAAGTGCTGTTTAGCTACAGCCCAACAAAACATCAGTCAAAAAAGCAGAGGGAAGTATTAGCTTCTCTTTTGTCTGCCATGTACAATTGGGTTATTATTATGATAATTGTCTACTTTAATTTTTAGTCTTCATGGGAGATGCAACAATTTTCCAGAGCTTCATTTTTGAAGCATTTTAAGTTTCAACAAGGTGCCATTTCATTTTAAACCTAACGCCCCAAAAATGCTTATAGCTCCAGCTGGGGTGATTTGATCAATTCTTTCATTACCCTGAAAGTCTTTAGCATCTTAATATGATGTTACATATATGGGACAGGATTTCTTTTCAAACCATATAGACACTAGGATCCATTAATACAGTGCTGAAGACTGTTACATGAGTCAGGGGAATTCCAATCCAAGTTAATTACCGTTGGAATTAGAGGAAAGAATATTTCACTCAAAGTTGTATAACAAGAATCTACAATTATCACATTTCAGGGCATTGCTCTATTCATTTGATGAAAAACGTCAATGAAGTTTAACAGAAGATGTTATGCATTTCCATGGGTAATGAAAATCGGCACATTCACGATTAGCTAACACAACATTTTCAGTGTGTTAATATGCAGTGCAGCAAAAATTTCTGTAGGCAGTAAATGTAGCCATCATTTTCATTTGCCCATATGATGATTATGCTCAGTTCCTGACTGGGTACTTAATTTCACACTGAAAAGCAGTCATCTCCTCTTAGGAACTGGCTGTAGCTTACAAAAAAAAAAGAAAAAAAGAAAAAAGAAAAAGAGAAAGACTGACTGCTGGACTGCTGCCTGAGGTCTTATAGCTAGCTAGGTAATCAGACACATACATGTAACTGAAAAAAATATCTGGAATCCTAAAAATGCCTTCTGAAACTGTATCACTGAATTAAAAGTAGATTTATTTCTTTGTGTTCATTTAGAGAGTTTTTGTCCAAACAATGTGTCTGAGACATTCATGACCTTGTTAAATTTTTTCAATTTTTAATGATTCCAATAGGCATCTTCAGAGTTTGTTGGATGCTGCGTCGTTCCATTCCGTGGCAACACTAGAGTTATTCTTACCTGGTGAGTGGTATTCTGATGAGAAACTAGTGATATTAATTTGTGTGCCAAGCTATGTTTTACTTGCAGTGCCTGAGTAGCAACAAGTGGATGGACTGTGGAAATCTTAGAGAGTAAGTGAACATAAGATTATTAAGATCAACACTGACAAAACTGTTTCATCTTCATAAACATCTTTAACCTATTAAGTAGGATTTAAAATTAATCGCAGAATCATCCAGTCCATTATAGACTAAAGTTTATCTGGTAGGCTTTCAGGATTGCAATCTTTACTCCTGTTCCTGCTTATTTAGGAGTTAAGGATTAGTCGTAATTGTACAATAAACTAGGTAGGGTAATGATAGTTTGAACAATATGAGTATCCTATAGAGAGAAAGGCAGATAATATTCTGTACTTCTGCTTGTTAGCTGTTTCAATGGGGCTGTGATTCTTTACGAGCAACATATTCATTTATTTAAATGGGCAAGCAAATCAACAAGGTTGTGCTGAGTAGCTTAGGGCTGGTAATTCTGGTTTTGGTTTTGGGTGGTTTTCTTCCACCACCCCCAACTTCTTTTCTTGGATGTGTGCGTGTCATGCATGGGAAGGTATGAAGAAAAAACAGCTATTCAGCAGAGACACGTCCCACCCCTTTAATTAAGCTTTTCCTGGACTATGTAAAAACACTGGCAAAGCGTAAATCCCATTTGTGGGGCTTTTTTTATTTTAACAGATTCCTAAGTATTATATTAAGATACCTCAGTGATGAAATACATATGAAAATAGTTGCACTAGTAAGTCACTGGATACTGAAAGGGTTGGATGGCATCGGCACAGAGCCAACTGGAATATTTTTTTTTCATTTAATTCCTTTCACCTAGTAGGCTCCTTAAGCATTAGGCAGAACCCAGTATGTGGCTAAGTTATTGCTCTAGTGTTCATCACACAAAAAGCACAGTCTTAGCATTTGTAAATTTTCTTCAGGGAGGTTTCTAATCTAGACAGCATTTGCGTTTGGGGATTACACCACAGTCTGTTCCCCACCACCTCCCCCTCTAACATGTAGTCCTTTCAACTTCTTCAAAGAAGTGGGGAAAAGTAGGTTCTTTTATTAATAGCAGAAAACAAACCGACTGCTGGACTTCCGTGGCAGAGCTCACATAATGCGGCAGGGTGGGAACTGTAACAAAGAATGCTTGAATGCACTAAACGTATAGTGAAACCCCATTTACATTCACTGATGGAGCTTAAAGTACAATAAGTGAGAAGTTTAAAGTAGAAATAAGCAGGGCCATGAAAAGACTTCTGTGAAGGTAGATACTTCTTGAAAAGTTTAGCACAGGATTTAATTTCAAACTCAAGTCTTTCCTATGAGAATGCATTTCTTCATAATACATCCCTTTACTCAAAGCATCTCCCTCAGATGAAGGTAAATCAGATGAAGAGAGTACCTTCAATGCATAAAAAAGTAGATTCAGTTTATCCCATTTATACACTGATTTTCATACAAGTGAGACAGTTAGCAGTGGAAAGGCTTCATGGTTCACTGTCTGTTCCTCTGCACGCACTCTCCTCTGCAAACTGCCTTTGATGTGGAAGAAACAATTTTGTGTCTAGAAATAAGTTTGATTGTGGGATCCTCTCATGATTTCTAGTTTACTTCTAAAATTTGTGTGAACATGTTGGTATAAGCACGCTCGAGAATTGGACGAGTTAGTTGGGTTTTTTTCTGCTAAAAATTATTCTATGAAATAGAATTGCAATATCACTTGTGAGTAGCTGTCACCTCTCGCCTTCTCTTCCACCATGATAATCATCTCTGTGCTTCAGCCCCTTCCACAGGCCCACTGTAACGCCCTACAAGATGCCAGCTTCTTCTCCTAAGAGTTTGAATTAGCCTTCCTCCCACTTTTTGCATTTGTCTCCGTGGTGGTTCTTCATCCTGAACATGACAGACAGATAAATTGGCCCTACCTGCAACTTTTTGCAGAATCTGCATCCCTGCCCTCCGCCCTGTAGTTGCAGTTTTCCAGATAAACTTCTGGAAAAGTTTATTTTATTCACTTTCTTCTTCTTCTTGTTCATTTTCTTCTTCTTCACTTTCTTCCGAAGAGCAGCATGATAGTCCCGATCGCCACACAGTCAGAACAGAGGACCATTTGTGGGACAACAGATTTAATAACTGTGGTTTGGAGGAAGGGGGGCAGGGGACGGACTATGGGATAATGTTCTACTGC